CTAGAGTCACTAACCATGTCTTTCATTCCTGTCACCATCTCTGTAGTTATCTGGGAAGTTATTTCTGCTTTCATTTTTTTCTACAGACTTATTCATCTGCTTTCTTACTTCTGCTGCTACCACTTCTCAGAGTCCAGGTGGGTGAGAGCCTAATTGTTCCACCTCATTGCCCCCTGGGTTTGCCTTTGGTGAGCTAGAAAATTGAGGTTACATCTTGCTTAAGTGTGTTCTCATTTTCTTCCTTCCCCTTCCCCTTCCCCTTCTCCTTCTTCTCCTTGTTTAATTCCTGGGTTTCTGCTTATAAATTACTTATGGCAAATATCTTTATTGCTAGTATTTAGAACCCTTCGGAAATGACTACTTCCCAGAAATGTCTTCCAGGTATAGCTGCCTTTTGGGTTTTGAGTCTGTTGCAAGATCCTGCCTCTTCAGTTTATTGGGGATGAGAAGTTGCTGCCTATATGGCCTAGCCCCTGGCTCCTTGGCACTGAGCTATAGTATTGATTATGACCCTTAGGTGATCTCAGTCTTGGCATAGAAGGAAGAACAATCTATTAGAACAACTATTTCACCTTGGCTAAAGTAGTACAATCAGCAACAATGATAGCATCAAATACAGGTAGCCACTGCAGTCCACTGCATCCACTGCTCCATTCTACAGATGTGTTTCTCTGTGGAGGCCTCTGGAGGCCAGCAGTCACAGTGCATCTGCAGGTTCGAGTTGCTCTTTCCACACTGTGAGTCAGGGATCAGGGAGAAAGTGCCACTTGCCACACCTCCTTCTGCACTGAGGTCTCTGTCTTCAGTCTCTCCATGGGCTTTAATTCTTGCTTCAGATCCTTGCTGGGTCCTGGGGACCCACTTCCCTCATTCTCTTCTTCATGTTGCTGTATTCCATCATCTGGACACCAAATCTCGGAGAGGCTGTTTCTGTGCTGTTTACCACTCCGCCATCTTCCCCAAAGTCCTAAAATTATACTTTTAAGAAGACCACAGCCAGGCATGGTGGTACATGCCTGTAATCCCAGCACTCAGGAGGCTGAGGTAAGAGGATTGCTGTGAGTTCAAGGCTAGCCTGGGCTATATAGTGAGATAGAGAGTTCTAGGCCAGACTGAACTACATAGTGAGACCCTGTCTCAAACCCTCCACCGCCACTAAAAAGAATCAACGTGCTGGAGGTTTAGTGGGGGGAAGGAGGAAAGAGGGATAGACATATTAAAGCACCATTTATATAGTTACTTAGCATCTTTCTTAGAGCCAAAATCTCACTGGCTCAAAATTAGTTTTCTAGGCTGAGTGCTAATGCTTTCTTCCACTGAGAGTTAAAGAATACCACAGAGCAGACTTAGCAGGCCTTTATGGAAAAGAGTAAAGGTCACCTCCTCATTGACTTTGGGATGTCTCCATGGCCAAATACACCCAACTATATATCTAAAACAATAGACTTTATTATTGTGGTTAAGCTTTAACTGCAAAAAAGCAACACATCATCTTATTAATGACCTTGTCTTTTGTACTATGTGTTCCCTTCCAAGCCATTTTCAGGGAAACTTAGCCATAGAACGTGGTCTCTGAGCCCATCCTTACGAAACATTGCCACAGAGGATATTTTCCCTACACAAGAAGCAAAAGAAAATGAGGAGCATGAGTTCAGATGCTGTGTCACTAACTGTGACACTAACTATGAAGGTGGCTGGGCAGGGATGTAACCTCGAGGACCAGAGGAGCAGGCAGGCAGAATTAGACAGGGAAAGGCTTGGGACCCACAGCCCTCTCCCTGACTCTATGGTGGCATGTAGGTATAAATCTCCAGTCTTGTCCTTTGCAGATATTTCTTATCAAACTATTTTTCTAAATGCATCACATTTGACCTTGACAGTCAAAATTCTAGAATTTTGTCCAAATTAAAATGCAATTTTTCCCTGAAATGGCTCTGAAAGTGGTCAGCCTGCTTCTTTGCCTTTGATCTAGCTGCCCCAGGATTTGGGCTTCTTCCTTTGGCTTAAGGGGAGGGACACAGTCACTCTCTGGAAGCGGAATCAGCTTGTTAATACAGCACAGTCACTCATGGGGCTGCTATTCCTCCCATCTGGCACTTTCCCAAAGCCAGCCTGGGGCAATAAACTAATTACTTCTCCTGCTCCTCCAGTTTGCTCTCCTAAACTAAATGAATCTTGCATTGGTGACCAGTCAGCTGTAGAGGTGCCCCCCCCGCCCCCGCCCCCGCCAGCACACCAGCAGCAGCTGCAGCCCTGCCACTCCTAGAAACAGAAAAGGCTACTACCTATAGACCAGGGCATGTGGGTCTAAATCTGGCAAAGCTTGGAAATGCTGCTGTTTGTTTTGTTTTTGTTCTGTAGTATTGGTGATTGAGCCCAGGCTATCTATTACTAAACTACATCCCCAGGCCATTTTAAAATTTTTATTTTGAGAGAGTCTTGTGACATTGCCCAGGCTGGACTCAAACTAGCAATTCTGCTATTCTGCTGGATTTCGAGTAGATGAGCAGCCTTTAATGTTGTTTAGGGTAGGCTGCATTAAGATTAAGGGAGGCTGTCAAGTGTGGTGGTGTATGCCTATAATACCAGCTACTCAGGAGGCCTAGGCAATTTAGTGAGACTCTGTCTCAAAAAAAAAGGGAGGGGGGCTGGGATATAGTTCTGCAAAACAAACAAACAAAATCAGTAAGGAAAGTCTGAAAGGCAGGAAGATATTTTCCTCTTGGCTTGGAGCTTCCTAGCAGTTCTTGCTTCCTGCCTAGCTCACATCTCAGCAAGTTCTAGGAGTCCTACATGCTGGAGTCCAGAGAAGAGCTGGGAAATGTCAGGGCATAAATAAACAACAATACACTCTAGAGGAAAAGGGCGGCTCCTCTGTATTTCCCCTTCCTGTGGGACTGCCATGGTTTTTCATGATGTCATCCATTCATCATTGTGAGCTGACCGGCCAACTCAGGCTTGGCCAGCTGCTCAAGATCAGAAGGGGAGAGACAACCCTAGGACAAACGTGCAAAAGGCCCCTAAGCATGAGCAGACATGTTGACATCAATTCCACATAGAAAAACTTGGAAATCAAAGAAGACAGTAAAAGTCACGAAGTCTTATCCAACCTTCCCTTCCCTGAATGCCTGGGAAGAATTCAGGGGCCTCCTGCCTGTGGATGCGGAACTGAACTCTGGAGTGGCTCTAGGTGTGGAGGAGGGACTGCTCTGCCAGATGGTTCATTCTCCAGAATTCAATCTATTTCCTGACTCTGTGGTGTTTGAAAGCAACTTTGTCCAGGTACTCCTGCATAGCTCAGAACAGCATTCCTTGCTTTCTCTAAACCTGCTCCCAAGATATGACTGGGAGAATTCCTGGGATAGGAGTCGAGTGAGAGCTGAGGCAAGGAGAATGGAGGGGGATGAAACCCAAGACTACCCGCACTGTTCAGGGCTTTGCAGAGCCCTCTCTTGCAGGCATTGTCCCTGGGGAGAGATGTCAGGCACCCTCTGCTGAGTGGAGGATGTGGTATTTGAGTCCCCAATTTATTGCATCTTCCAGGGTGTCACCCAAAGCCAGATGAACAAGGAGGAAGTGAAAGGAGATGGCTTGTGAGGGTTAGGAGTGGAAATGCTAATCAGAGAAAGACAGGAGTGAGGCCCAGAGAGACCTGGGCTCAGATTCCAGGCCTCTGCTTTCTCGTGGGCAGTGTCATCGTGCTGACCCCATTTCCTCTGTGTTAAGGGAATTGGATTGGTTTGGGGATTAAATGAAAATACAACAAAGATAGTGCCTGGTCTCTCAGACACTTGATGCAGTTTTGTCTCCTTGCCTGGGTTCCTCCCTGGCAAGACAGAATCTAGAATAAATGGAACTGTGGCATTGGGAAGGCCCTTCTTGTTCAGTGAGGGTGCAGAAGATAACAGGGTCCCTCAAAGAAGAGCTGAAATTTTTCAAAGAAAAGCCAGGAAACAGTTCAGGAAGAATTCACAAACTCGTCATAGATGCCAGGGAACTCCTGAGGTATAGTTCTCATGGACAATTAGTTTTTGTTCTGTTTTGTTTTGTTTGGTACCAGGGATCGAACTCAGGTCTTTGCGCTTGCGGGGCAGGTGGCGGACAATTGTTAATACTGGATTGTCTGAATACTACTATAGTTTTTAAAAAAATTAATATGGGTTAAAACCCTTGTTCTCAATAAGCAACAAGGACACTTGTTCTCAACAAGTAATATCTCCCTCACTGCCACGGGACAGTGACAATACCTGGGGACAGTTTTGGTTGTCATAGTTTGAGTCAGGGTTGCTATTAGCATCTAGAGAGTAGAAGCCAAGGATGCTGCTAAAAATTCTACAAATGCACAGTACAGCCTCCCTCTCCAGCAAAGAGGCGAGAAGTCCCGAGCTAAAACAGCACTGTTCCTGCCACATGCTCAGGCTATGCCTGGGGTGGGTGCTGCATTGCAGGTCAAGAAGGGTAGAAACTGGATAAATATCTACAAAGTCTCCAAGACCATGGCCCTTGGGGTGACCTCCTCTGTGCCCTGCCTACCCCTTCCCAACATCCTCCTCATGGCCAGTGTCAGATGACATCAGGGACAGAGCCAGACATGGAACAGACCAGCTATAGCTCCAAACATCATCCTGAAAAGGTAAGCACTGCAGGTGAGAATGAGGCACCTTTAAGAGATGGGGTGGGGAGACCCCAAAGTGACTCAACTGGTTTATGACTAAGCTCAGGGTAGGGAGAAAGCAGAAGACACTGGCAGTGACATTAATTTTTGTAGACAGCAATAATCCAAGCCAGGTGGTGCACTGGCAGGGTAAAGGCCACATTGTAGGGAACAGGGAAAGGGGACGTCACTAGAACCTCTGCAGTAAGTCCTAGTCTCCTGCGAGCAATGGCAGCACAAGGCGAATTACAGGAAAGGTAGAAAAATGAGACTTTGAGAAGAAGCTGAGCTTTGGGTCTGATCAGTGCTGCTCTGAGCAGCAAAGAGGAAAGCCCCCAGCTTACCGCACATCTGGAGAAACAAATGTAACAAATGACTTGCAGAGAGTTCAGTACATCCGCCTAAACAAGATGTAACAATCCAAGAACAATGAAGAACTGAGTAGATGAAGATTTTGTTCCTCCCAGGATGTCTTCAACTGGTGTAATCTTGTCCTGGAGAATCACAGCATCACCAGATCATTGAGGTCTCAGTTGTGACCCGAGGCCAAAATGGAATTATGTCTAGGAATTCCATAGCTGGGCTGTAGACAGGAGAACTAGGCTAACCAAATGATTTTTCCCTAAAATTATGTAGCATTGCTCCCGACACCACATGCCTTGAAAGGAGGTGTTCTGTGGACAGGATGAGGGCCTGTCTCCAAGTCCATCTGCCCTCTTGCTGTGGTCTCCCCACTCGATTCCCAGGAACCTCTTGTCCTTTGGCCAAGGGGCAGGGAGGCAGTGAGGTCTGGCAGATGGAGCACCAGCTAGGAGAGGCAGGTTCTTTCTAGTCCTTGGTGTGTAAGTAACGACTCAAATAATTTTTGGATCACAGTCATTTGCTGTATCTCAGTTTCCCTGTTTATAAAATGATGTTTAAGTGTCTTTCAACAATCTGTAGGGTGTCTCATGAATCTCTACTTTAGACATTCCCAAAAGTCCAGGAATATCCTTCATTTCTCCATGCTGCCTCCTGACAGACCTCTCCTCGATGTTCTTGGTGTGCCTACAGCAAGTACAGCCCAGTTCTGTCTGACCAATTAGATCCAAGGCCAGCTCCTTGAACTTCAGCTCCTTTGAGAAGAGTTCTGGAAGCACTAAGGTCAATGAATGGACAAACTGGACATTTGGGCCAGGTCCCTTTGTGCCATCACGAAGGAAAGGGCAAAACCTCATGACCTCAGCCACCTTACTCCTAGGCTGTCTCTCTCAAGGAGAGTCCAGTCCTGGTAGGGAAGGGGGAGCACAGACAAAAATGCAGATTCCAGGGCCACACTCCAGACCTTGTGAGTCTGAGTCTTTGGGGATGTCTTTGGGCACCTGCATTTTAAGCTTCCCAGGGCTATCTGTTCTCCTCACCATTCTAAGAACACTCTCCCTCCTACTCCTAAAAGGCTGGTCCTCAAGGAGGCACCCCTTGTTTTAATGCAGCTAATGTGGCATCAGAAGCAACAGGGCTGTCAATGTGTCTCCCTCTTCCCTTCAGGATTCTCCCGTTGAAGTTTGTGGAGCTCCAGGTCTGTGACCACCTCCAGGGCATCCTGCGGTTGAGGACAGTCACTGAGAAGATGTACTACCTAAAGCTCCACCCAGACCACCCTCAGACTGTCTTCCACTTCTGGATCCAAGTGGTGCAAATTCTGAAGGAGGGCCTATCCATCACCACCAAGGACCCTAGGATTCTTGTCACCCACTGCCTGGTACCCAAGAACAACTGCAGCTCGTCTGAAGACTCTAAGGTAAAGGAGCATCACTGCCAGCCTTGAGCTAAGGCCAAAGCTAAGAGGTAGTCCTGAGACAGCTGGCAAGAAGGAGAACTCAGGGCCAAGGATTTAGCTCAGTGGTTCCTCCGCCTGCCTTGCAGGCACAAGGACCCGAGTTCAATCCCCGGTACCAAAAAAAAAAGAAGGAGAGCTCAGTTTAAGGTCTTTTTCAGACAGCTTTGTTGAAGTATCATTTATCACCTTAAAATTTTTTCTATGTAAGTATACAGTTCAACACTGCCAGTGAATGTATACAGTTGTGCAACCACCAACCATTGCCACAATCCAGTTTTGGACCATCTCTATCACCCTGAAGAATTCCCTTTCCATATTAGCAGTCAGTCATTCCCTATTCCTACTCCTGGCTCTCGACAGCCATTATCTTTCTTAGGCATTTCATATAAATGAAATCTTACACTGGAGCATGGCGGCACATAACTGTAATCCCAACACTTGGGAGGCCCAGGCAAGAGTCACTGCAAGTTCAGGGCCAGCCTGAACTACATAGCAAGACCCTGTCTCCAAAAAAAAAAAGGAAAGAAAACTTACTGTAAGTAGTCTTTTGTGTGTAGATTTCAAGAAGTAAAATGCTTTTGAGGTTCATTCATGATTCCATGGGGCCAACTCTGGGGCAAGTCGTGCGCTATCAGTAGTTTATTCCTTGTGATTGCCAAGTAGAATTATGCCACAGTATGGATATATTACATTTTGTTTAACCAGTTGATGGACATTTGAGTTGATCCAGGTGGGCTATAATGAACAAGGCTGCTATGAACATTTGTGTACAGATTGTTATATAGTCTTCCTTTCCTTTGTCCTGGCTAGATTTCAAGGAGTGGTAATATTGGCTTATATGGAAAGTTAACTATTAAAGAAATTAGCCAATTGTTCTTGTAAAATGGCCATTTTATGTTCCCAACACATAAAGGTTTTAGTTTCTCCACATTTTTTCCAACACTGACATTG